AAAACAGTAGCAAATTACTCACATACTAAAATCCACTGAGAGCTTACCCTTCCAAGGACAGCATCTCCTCGATATGGATTGAGGGACTGTGATACAAAGAAGCCAAACATGGGCTTTTTGCAGAAATGCTGATTTTGTTAAATATTAGCAAAGCTCTATGGCATCTTTATGCTATTACTAAAGAAAACAGTGTCTTGAACCAAGAAACACATGGCCATTATTGTGACATCCTAATCACTATGTCCTTAATATTACTAGGCAGGTCATCACTTAGGGAAAGTGACAATGTCCCTGTGAACATATTTTTGGTCTTATCTGATCATTTACCTTAACCACCCTGTGATTGCTTTATGCTACACCCTGCAATTATTTTCTGGTATTCTCTACCTGCATTTCTAGTCCCACATTTCATAATATATTAAATAATTACTTCATGTCACTGTATAAATAGAGCATCCAACCAAATGAATGACCTATGGCATACTTTTTGCTATTCCAAGTAAACATGGATGGCTTGACATTTTAATAACTATAAAAACAAATAGGCAGCTCACAAAATGACCAGTTTTTTAAAGAAGACCTAGATAGTTACACTTCAGAGCTAATGAAAGCTTCTACAGACCATTTTCCCATTAGTCAGAAAATTCAGGAACATAAACAGGGTTTCATAACCACAAAGGTAAGTCAAAACAAACTCCTTAAACAACACTAAATCAAGCTGAGTGGACAAAGAAGGGAAATGAAGAACAACCAAGTCCAGTACTTCATTTAAAAAAAAGGCTTTTAATATAAATCTGAATACAAAAATAACCAAAACACCCTACAGTCATCGCAAACAAATCTTCAAGGTTTTCTTTTATCAGTTCCCCGACAGTTTGGCAAGCGCTTGTTTTCTCTGTTCTGCAGTCATATACTCACAGGCTTCCAAAATATTTACTATAATTAAAGTCTGTTGAACTGTTTTTGCTTTTACCCATATTCTTCCATTCATTCCCAGCACCATCTCAAACGGGTACAATTGTGACAGCTCTTGAATTATTTCACATTTGGGAGCCAAGAGCCTGTGAACAAGAGCAAAAAAACAAATGTCAGAGGAAGGAATGCCCACATTTACAGACACCACATTTTTACTGACCAGTAACTCCAGCAGTACTGCTATTATGGGAGCTATTTAAGAAACACTGAAAGATTATAAAGTTGCATATACATCCAAAATAGCAATGCAGTATCAGATTTTCAAGGCTCCTGTCATATAAAATACATGAACGTAAAAAAAACAAAGCCATTGTAAATTTAGGTTTTTTCTCATTAGATTCAGAAGCAATCTCTGGCAAGTTTCAAGTGAATTGATGCTTTTACAACCATTCTAAGAGTTAATAAATTCTAAAAAGTACACTGTCTGACCAAATGACATTTTTGAAATGCTATCTATTTGACACCCCAAAGGTGTCTTTCAAAACAGGACTTCCCTTCTACTTCAGGAAACAGTATTAACAGCAATAAACAGCATACTAAATACTGTAACATGTCCAGGATTAAATCAAGATTGAACAAGTATTCACAAAACCTAAAACCATATCAGGATTTAGCAGCTTACTTGTAATATGCTGTTATTTTTTTACTTGCATACAGACAAAATGTGGAAAACACAGTGGCTGCAAAAAGTTTTTGTGACAGTTCACACTGACTTCTGCTAGGACCTATAAATCAGACAATGCCAGGTATGAAAAAGCTGCTCTACACTGCCAGATTGCTTATCCAAAGAATGACAAAAACAATTCCACCCAAAAAGCAACTACAAAGTTTGACCATTGTTTATCCATGTAATCTGGTATTCTTTGACAGTCACAAAAAAATCCTGTATTTACATCAGCATAAGCAACTCCAAAGCTCACAATACATTTAAAAGCTTATGAAACAGTTCCTGGAGTAATGTGTCAATTTTAAACTAAAATCCTACACTTTTAAAACCTGCATCTTTATTTCAGTGTTATTTATTTTTCTTTGGAAGGCAGAAAATAATGTGTACTGATGTGCGAAGAATCCCTTTAATCAGCTGTCAGCCAAACATGCACCTCTACTACCCCATGAAACAGAAAAAGGACAGTAAGCATTGCCAAGTTTTAAACTCCAAGGTAATATGTACATACCTGAAACACTATCCTGAATGTCTGACTTCCCCAAGTCATTACTTGTATTTTCCATACTGCCTTGGTAACCACATTGCTTTTTTTAAGCAGGTGATGCAACACCATACAAAAGAGCTTCTAAAGTCTCTTAAGAGGAAAAATAAACTTTCCTTCTAGCTCAATCCATACTCTTTTCAGTAAATCTGGTTTCAATGCACTACAAGAATCACACAGTCTGATTTACTAAACTGCCCACACTGCTCAGAAGAAACAGCTGTGGGAATATTACATGTGAGAGTGATTACTTACATTTTTTAGTACTTACTTTCTTATTAGACCTAAGGAAACTTTAAAGAGGAAGCCATCTTGTCCAATTATTCCCATGCCACTTGATTTTCCACTGCTGTCTATACAGACCATCTCTGGTTCCATGTCTTTATTTGCTACAACGAACTGACCATAAATAAGATCTCCCACCTAAACAAAACAGATCAAAGAACAAAGGTATAATCTCTTATAATCATTCAGTAGGACAACAAGAAAAAATATCACACTGGTCTATTTGTTTTTTCTTTACAGTTTCTTTTACATTCTGGTAATGGCATTTCAGCCAAGTGCAGAAACTGGCATGCACATGCAGCACAACCATTCATAACAGTGCTGTTAAAAGAACCCACACAACTAGCATTTTCTACCAGCATCCCATGTTTTAAAACCTTAACATCGGAGTGCCCGGTCAGATGCACCTTACTCATGAACTGCATTTGCTCCTGGCAGCACTATGAGCACATGAAAACATGGGAGTGAAGCACTCGGGCAGCTGAGAGAGAGCAAACCACGCTAGCTAGAGTCTTCCTAAGAAACCCCGTAAGGCCGCGGCCTAATGGTGCAACACCCCCCGAGGAAGACCAAGACAAAACCATTACAACCAGACCTGCTCACCTCCTCTAACGTGGGCTTATGAGAACACTTCCCCTGAGAAAAGCCACTGAAACGCTACAGAAGCGCCACCAAAGGACGCCGCTAAAGCGCTACCGCAGCCAACCAGGGCACCCACCTGCACGTTCGGCCTGTTCCTCTTCGTGGCGCCCTCGAAGGCCAGGTAGGACAGGGACGCCGGCTCGCTGCCGCCCACGTCCAGCCTGAACACGTCCCCCGCTTTGGCCGTCACGATCCCTATGACGTGGTCGCCCTTCACCGGCACGTACTGCAGCGGGGAGGGGGACAGAGGGTCAGGGGAGCGCGGGCGATATGGGGACCAACACACATAGACACCCACACGGACACCCGGGTCCCGCCGCGGCCCTACCCGCTTCTGCTGCGAGTCCACCCAGTAGGCGCCGCCGCCGCCGGGCCGGTGCCGCAGCAGCCCGCACTTGGTCACCAGCAGCCCGGCCCCGCTGCGCCGCAGCCCCGGCCCGCACAGCAGCCGCCCCTGCGGCGCGGTGCCCGAGCTCAGCCGCAGCCGCTCGCCCTCCGCGTCCTCGTCGTAGTGCGCGGGGAGCAGCAGCAGGTCCCCGGGCAGCACCACCTGCCCCACGAGGGCCTCGGCCGCCGTGCCGCGCTCCGCCGCCATGGCCGCGCACATTTCAGGCCCACAGCGACCCCGCCCGGCCGGAGCGGCCCCGGCCGCAGCAGCCGCGCCCGCCCGACCCCGAGCTGCGGCAGCCGGCTCCGCACCCTCACGGCACCTCCGCAGCTGCCTTTCCGTCAGGGAGGCAGCCCGCCTTCCGATTCTGCCGGGGAGCGGCCAAGATAATGTTAGAGCACTTAGGCGTCGGACTTAATTCTTCCAGCTGCAGTTGTTTGCAAGGTTTTTTAACACCAGATTAGAAGCTGACAGTAAAACATACAGCTGGTCAAATTTGAGGTGAACGTCAGCCGATGAGCTTTGCAGGGAGCAGAAAAGATCACATCAGTTGTGAAGGGCAGCTGCTCACACAGAGCTAGCATTAAAACAGTTGGAAAGGATCACAGCGCGTCATCTGGTCCAGCCTTCCTGCTTAAGCAGGGTGTCCTAGAGCACATTGCACAGAACTGCATCCAGACAGCTTTCAATATCTCCAGATGAAGAGATTCCACAACCTCTCTGGGCAGTCTGTTCCAGTGTAGGATCACCTGCACAAAGTAAAGTTCTGCCTCCTGTTTAAATGGAACTTCCTATGCATCAGTTTCTGCCCATTCCGTGGTGTCCCAGTGGTTGGCACCACGGAGCAGAGCTTGGCACCTCCCCTTTAGATATTTATACATATTAATGAGGTCCCTGATCAATTGGCTCTTCTAAGGCTGAACAGGCTCAGCTCTCTCAGCCTTTCCTTGTAAGAGAGATGCCAAACCCATTAATCATCTTTAGCCCTCTGCTGGACCCGCTCCAGGATCCCCATGCCTCTCTGTCACTGGGGAGCCCAGCACTGGGCACAGCACTCCAGGCACAGCCTCAGCAGGGCCGAGCAGAGGGGCAGGATCACCTCCCCTGACCTGCTGGCAATGCTCTGCCTAATGCACCCCGCGATACCAGTGGCCTTCTTGGCCACAAGCACACTGCTGCAAGCTCTTGTTGTCTATCAGGCCCCCCAGGTCCTTCTCCACAGAGCTGCTCTCCAGCACATCACCCCCAGCTTCTCCCGGTGGTGGGGTTACTAATCCCCAGGTGCAGGACCCTGCATTTGCCATTGCTGAATTTCAGGTTCATCTCTGCCCATCCCTCTAGCTATTGAGGTCTCTCTCAAGGGTCACAAAACCCTCTGAGGTCTCGGCCCCTCTCGGCTTTGTGCCATCCTTTCCGAGCAGGCCCTTCACCCCTCCTCAGCCCCTGCGGGCGGCGCCGGGGCCGCCGCGCTGGCGGCGCTGTTGCGGAGCAACCCCCGCGTTGTGGGCCGGGCCGGGCGGCAGGAGTAGGGCGGGCCTGGGGCTGCCGTGCCGGGGCTCTGGGAGCTGCTGCCGGCAAGGAGCCGGAGCGGGGCTGCTCTCCGAGGGAAGGCGAGAGGCTACAGCGCAGCCCGCGGCACCAGAAGCAGGGCAGCGACAGCACGCTGTGGCGGAGCGTGAGGCGAGGCAGGGTAACGAGCCAGGCCCTCCCAGAGCTCCGAACCCCCGGAGTGCGGATGAGGAGCGGGCCCGCCCCGCCTGGAGCACAGGGGAACAGGAGGGGCCCACCCGGTGCTTAAATAGAGCCCGGACCAGGCGGCGGGATTAAGGTCACCTGGAGGCGCCGCTAGCGCGAAGGATGGGATTGGATTTGTTGTATTAAGTGCCCGGGTTCTCTGCCCCGGCATGGATTCAGCCCCCTTGACAGCAAAGGAAGGCTCGTGTTAACTTAAACTGGGCTCGTAAAGCGTGTGCACAGAGATCTGTGCCTTTCGTAACTGTGGAGTGAGTGCTTCAGGCCCTCGCCTTGCATACGTGTCTTAAAGATAGCTTTGACAGCTCAAACTAAAATTACCTCTTAATTGTCCTCAGAACTACTTGCCTGTTCTTTGAGTATCTGTGTAGAAGTTTTCCATGTGCTGTTGTGGTTTTCAGGGTTTGTTTTTTTCTTTTGTCATCATGCAGACCTAGAATTGGCATCATGTTTCTAAATGAAATAAATTATACATGTCCAAGCAGTAAGGTGGGGTTTAAGCATAATTTTTTCTGCAGTGATTGCTGTAACTGACCTGTCACTGGAACTTTTAAGAACTAAACCACTACCAAATAACTTTCTTGTATAAATTGCAAGCTTAGTAAAAAGTAATGTCATAGTCAGTGTTTGGCACCTGAAGCAAGAGTTGTTAAAGCCCGTAACTTAATTCTGACATTTGTATGTAATGTCTGTCTGTTTATTGTCAGTAGATTTGGATGGAGTCTCAGTACCTGAAGGAATGCCTGGGAAGTTGCTTGAAGAAAGGACTGGCAGAGGTTGTAGAGCATCGGCCAGCAGATCCAATAGAGTATCTTGCACACTGGATTTACAATTACAGAAGAACCTTAGATGAAGAAAAAAAGGTGGATCCAACTTAGGCAAAAAAAGATTGCTACAATATAGTTGGTGCTATTTAATACATTTAATTTTTATGTTTAATTTATTCTGTGTTGCCTTGAAATAGAGAATACTGGAGAGAGCTGAGCTGGAACAAGAACGGGAGGCAGCCCTAGCAGAACTTGAAAGGTTAAAAATCCAGGAAGAAGAGCAGCGGAAACTTGAAGAACAACAGGTTATTAATACTAAATAATAGATAATTCTAAGAAGCATATGGTGCTGTGGCATATTGGAGCTCTTTGTATGCAGCTCTAATACCTGTATACTGATTTTGTTAAAGGTGGCATTAAGCAAGTATTTTAATCTCACTTTTCTGAATAACTGAAATTATTAATGAGCACATGAGTGGGAAAAGTTACATACTATGCAGTAAAATGTTATTAAAAAATGATGACTGTTAAGATAAAAAGGAGTCAATTTAGGACTTATGTGAGAAGTAACTGAAAATACTGTTTGGGCTTGTAATATGAGAAATAAATACAATATCTGTGTTTCTAGCCATTCTTTGTAAATGAGTCATGTGAACTCATTGTTGCTATGGTGATGTTGATGTGACCTGACTGGATTTTTTTGTATGGATGACTTTCATTATGTTAAAATCAAGAGCTCAATTTTAAATTTATGCTGATCACATTAAGCCCAGCTCTAGTGTAAGATGCATTAATTTTATTTCACTTGCAGTTTTAAAATTTGGAGTTTAGTAATTTGCAAACCAAAAGTAGTGTGCTTAAGGGTTTAATGAGTGATGTAAAATAGTAAATGAAAATAAGGAGATTGTATCTAGAGATAATTCACTGAGAATTAAATAAATCATTTCACCTAAGCTGTGGGAAAGATGTTGAACAATACTCACATTAGATGCATTTTTTTAACCTAATTCAGTTTTGTAGTCAAATACAGAGGAAAGATTTGCATTTATATGCCAAAAAGGAATGGAAAATAATGACCATGTTTGTAACTGCTCACAAAATGCAAGAGCAAACAGTATACTCTAAGGCTGTTGAATGTAAATACTTATATTATGCAGTTTCTGGAGTTTTGGTGTAATAGGACTTACATTTCCAATTAATAAACACTTCCTGTTAGATATTTCCAGTTATAAATGCTAAAGGTTGCTGATGGGCATCATTAATGTTAATGACAGTGCCTGCCAATTTTTTCAATAGATTTGATTCTATATTGATTCATCCATGTGTGCTAGGTGCTACACAAAGTATCAAAGAACTTAATCCAAAGGACAGGAGATAACTACTACAGACTAATAAAGAGCTTGTATAATGAGACAGTATCTGAATTGTGTACACTAACCTAACTTCAGTTAATTGTTGTATCTTCCTCTTGGTAGTAAAGCCTCTTTATCAATAAGAGTCTCAAAACTTTGAAAATGCTAAACCAGACGATACTGAAAGGACTCTGTTATTAACATAATATAGCAGTTATGTTTTATGCTTGCTTTTTATTTATTATTTCAATAATAAAATCAATTGTAAAACAATGTGGTGAAAAAAAACAAATATGGGGGATTTTCTTTCTAATTTGTCCTTTCTTAAACTGATTTCAGGCTCAGTTGGAGAAAGAACGTGCAGAGTTGGAAGCACAGAAAAAGGAAGCTGAAATGCAGTTGCAGCAGGAAGATCAAGAGGTTTAAGCCAATGCTTATTTGGTGGTTTGAAAATACCATTTATCAGCCATTTTTTCCAGATGCAGGCATCAATTACAAAACACAAAGCAGAAGCCCAGAGGTGTTGAACTAACACATAATTGAAGAAACAGGAGTTAGATGGGGAGAATGTCTAACACATGGCTTCTGCAGTCTGGGTTTTATACTTGAATTTTGATCAGAACAGAAATTTATTCCAAAAATCTGGCATAAGGTCAGCTTACCAGATTCCTTGATGGTATTTATTAGAAAGTTTTATAAAATAACCATGTCTAATTTAAGTACCAAGACAGTAACATTTTGCAGGGGGTTAGCACAAAATCCATTTACTGTACCTGCAAAAAGAGCTGTGGTTTGGAATTTCAGTGCATCTGGATTCTGCTGTCTTAGTGGTGTATAGGAATTTATGCTAACAGGAGAGTGTGTATACAGATATCCATGTTTATGGTCTTTTCATGCTGCTTCAGTAAAAACATACGTGGATAATTGGCATGCTTATCTCCCTAAAGCTTTTAAAGCTCTGTGGAGCATAGAATATTTTAGAAATACCTAAGTTTTTAGAAAAGTCTGTTAAAATTTTGACAAACCATAATTGTATGAAGATTAACATATGAAAGTGACAGAAAAAACAAATATGTAAAAATTTTAAATTGCTGTTAATTAAAAAAAATATTTAAAAATAGGGTTAAGCCTAAGACCAAGACAGTATTCCCATACTACTAAATTTGTATAGCACTTATCTAAAGTGTTCTCTTTACATTAATACCTAATGTCATTTTAACACACCTGAAATGCAATTTCATGACATGGGACGTTTGAACTGAAAACTGGTTTTCATTGCCCCAGGAAAATGAAAAGACAATAGCTGAAGTTACAGATAGACCTGAGGAGCCAGATGAGACTGAACCAGTAAGTGTTTAGAAAGAGATTATAAACTATTGATTCTTAAAAATTTGCTTCTTTGTGCTGACAATAGATTTATGAAAGTATAACTTATGACTGTTCTTAGGGTCAGCTTTTCACAGGTGTTTTTTCCACTGAGGTAAATCAGGTGTGTATGCAAGATCCCGTATAGCCCAAATTTTTATCATTTTTTGATAATTACATATTTAAAAATATTATTGAGGCTTTGGGCATATTTTATGGGTTCTTTAATAAGAAAATTGTAAAACTAGAAGTGAAAATGAGTCTTAAGTACCTGCTGCTCCCTACATGTGCCAAGTTTTCATGCCTAAAGCTGTTAGATTGCGTTGGCTTTGAGGATGTTATTTCAGGTTTTACAGTTACATGTTTGCTACAAATTAAGAACAGATTGATAAAATAAGACATATAGCCTTGTACTATTGATTCTGCCCTCAAAATCACAATGCATCATTGAAATTTCCTGGATTTTATAATAGAAGTCTGGTGATGGCCTTTATTGTATTGAATGGAATAATACATTATTATACTGCTATGTCCCAACTTGTCTGTCATGGGCAGTTTTTTATATTTTCCTTTTTACAAAGCTCAGTGAATGCTGGTAAGTGGTAGAATATTTTTGTTGTTGTTTTCCAGAGTCAAACAGACCTCCCAACAGTAACAGAAGAAGAAGAAGAAGAGGAGGGGGAGGAGGAGGAAGAAGAAGAAGAAGAAGAAAATTAGAACTGACCTGAGAGCAGTAAATATATTTTCTACTCATTACTTGCTATCCTGAAGTGTAGTATTTTGATTTATGTATTTTATAAATATAACTGATTTACATAACTGTTTCTCTGGTGTCTGTTTTCAAGGTGTTTGTATAAAGTCTGTTATTTCTGATACTGATTCTTCCTTTTTGTTCTTAAAGCATTGTAGCTGGCATGGCTGACTTTCACAGGAAGAAAACTGCAGCTGAAGTGAAAGCAGCAAATATATTTTCTACTTATTGAAGTAACCATAATAAATAAAAATATAACTGAAGTGTCAATATGATTTGAGGATAGATGCCACAATATGATAATTTGAATCAATATGAAAAGAATAAAATATTACTGAAAATTATTTTACAAGAATATGAATGATTTCTGACAGAAAAAAAGGGAATGCTCTGCAGATTAAAAGATGGAGAGAGTATTCTGGACTTCAGACTTGGCGCAAAAATCCAATCAGATTTCCCAAATGTATTTGAAAGAGGTAAATTTAACTCTGACTCAGTATATACTAGAAGATCTTGTCTCCTAGAAGTCATGAGGTGATCTAGGTTTAATTATTGGATAAATATATTTATTGCTGTATTTATTATTAGAACCTTTTTTGGGTATTGTGTGGTACTAGGTGAGCTGCAAGTGTCTGCAAGTTTGTCTTGATTAGTCAAGTTTTTAAGACTTTTCTGCATTTTTCTTGAATTTGTAAATCAAGAAATTAAATGTGTTCTCTACTAAATACCAGTATTATTTCTAAAACTTCACTTCTAAAAATTTAGAAGTATATTTAGTTTGATCCATGGTTATCTGTAAAAGTAAGTTTTATAATCCTTACAGATTGCATTTTTACAAGAACAGATGTTTGTAACCACTGGTATCTTGGTATAGGTTGTCAAGAATGTTCTGTCTTTTCATTATAACTAGAAAAAACAGCAGCATTAAGAAATCCTGCTGTTCTTAAAAATGAATGTACATTCAATAAAATGTACATTTGCATCTCTGTCATCTACTACAGGTTAAATGGTCATGGCCAATATTGTGTAATGAAAATACACAACGAAAGTCAGTGCATAGTTAATGCATTCACTGTGTTCTTCAGTCTTGGGATGAGATTTTTTATGATAATTTCACTTCAATTTTTTAATAATATCGCTGAGTCTAAGGGGTTTGCTATCCTTGGAAACTGTTAAAAATATCTATACACCCAACAGACAAGGGTCAATTACATAATAAATGTTTTCTTGCTCTGAATAACTTGTTTTGATTGTGTAGATCAGACTAAGAATAATCTTACAAAATTTTAAAAACGTGAGCACTATTGCTTTTTCTATATATTAATATATTATTTTTCCCCATAAAGTACCTCTATTAAAAAAATCCTGTGCCCATCTTATTACTACACTGCTTTTTGAATGCTGTTAATAACCACGTCTTATATGAGCATCCTTAAAATCCTCAAAGTCACTTACCAGGTATAAATACTTAGAAATGTTTGTGTAACTTTGGAGTCATGAAAAGTGGAACTATTTTTTGTGTCTAAGTGGTCAGGCTTTGCTATCTACAATAATTCTGTACAATGAATACACCCTTGTGGTTGATGCTCCAGTAAACAGATTTTGGCACAGTTTACGATTATATTTGTTAGAAACATAATCTACAATAGAATAGAAAGTTACAATAGAATCATTCAAGTACACACCAAATTTGATACCACAGGTCTAATTACATCTGTTAGCACTGCATGCACAGCAGCCTCTTGTGCCAATCTCAAAGGGATGGAGAAATGGATAAACAGATGGAGTTTGTCTTTTAAACAAGAGGTATAACTGATTCTTAATATTTAGATTAACACTTTCAAAAATTGGTAACTCATGTTCATTTACACTTAATGTCCAGTCATGTTGACCATGAAAATTTCAACCTTCATACAGCCTTCAAAACATGCTAGAAATTAATTCTAGTGACATGTTGCTTTCATTTTTTTATCATTTTATACTGTTTGTATCTTTGTTTGATTTCGTTATATGTGTGTCCACTAGAGTGCATCCTAAATAAGCACACTGGGAGCTCTGTCAATTACAGCCCATGAAAACTACAACTTCTGTTTGTCATTCTGTTTCAGTTCATTTTTAACTATAACTGTTTCTTTGTGATGCTGCAGTCCATATTCCTCACTTTATTTCAAGGTAGGAAGTTTTGGATGGAAACTGCTATCAGAAAATTACTAAGCAAGGGTCAAAATAAAGTGGTAGATTCCAATTTATCTGTTTCTTTATTGTTAGCTACAGAAAACTTTTGTTGCTAAAATGTTATTTATAGGAATTCCCATTTTTTTCAGGATCTGATGTGCACAGACCTGGTGCATTACAGCTTTATAGGAATTCTTATCTTGGATATGTGACACGAAATAAACAGTTCTTGGCACCATGCTTTCTTGAGGTGCAAACCTGCCTGTAGGTTACTTGAAAATGTAGTTCCCAACAAAGGTGACTTTTCCTTGGGTGTCTAAACCTGGAGGGAAATTAAGGCAGATTAAAACAATTTTTGCCTTCTCTTTCTGAATTTCCACCTTCCTTGGAGTATAGCAAGCTAGAGCCTGGAGGAAGATAGATGACTCTTTTAATTACTGCACATTATGTGATTTCAGAAGTGCTAACACAATTTAACCTCTGCATAAAATGTAAAATTGTACATTGGAAAGAAAAAAACAAACAATTACAAAATGTAACTTTATCTGCAGCTTACACTCTCTTTGAATAAATTTTTAAGGAAAGAAGATAAAATTCATAGACAGATGATGAAAACTGGCACTGAAAATAAGGTTCGAAATACTGCCAGAAGATTTATGAACTTGTCATTTTTCCTTTCTTCAGAGGAAGAGCAGTCTTGTTTAGGCTGTGACCAGGCCATGTCCAGATCCTTCAGAGAACATGCTGATAGTAACATGCCCATTCACAGCTGTTCTCATTCCAGCAATACTGAAGCACAAGGATGAAAACAGATATGAAGCCCAGAATAGCCCAAAATGATCCAGATTAACTGTCAGTCTGCTCACAGAGGTGAAAACAGCTCTGCAGTGTGAGAAACTTCTCTTGCATGGAGAAATACGTGTTGCAGCAAGCACATTTTAAAGTTATCTTTTCATAGAAGAGGTTTTATTCAGATTGCAGTCCCTTTTATGATGAATGGTTTTCCTTCATAGTCTAAAGGAACTAACTTATCTTTTTGTAAGCAGAAGTTTTATACAGTAATTTGCTAATGGTAATGGGAACCATATGAATTAGTCTGGATTAAATGTTAAATTGAATTTCTCTGAACTTTGCTAATACAGCTAATACTCATATTTTAAGTCAGTCATTAATTGCTTTACTTCTTTGAAGAATTTGCTGTACATAGGCTAGAAAAAGAGCAGTGTTGTCTATTGACTACAGCTAGAAATGACAGTCTAAGCCTGTTATTTGCTGATAAGGACTGATGTACTTTTTAAAATATCTTACCAGTGTACTTCTCTGCTTTTTTGTTTTTGAGTTGTTGCTTTTTTGGGGTTTTTGTCTGGGTTTTCTTGTGGGGGAGTTGGTTTGCTTGGTGTTATTACTTTTGTTTGTTTTCTGGTGCTGCCATTATAGATCTTCATGAAGTCATTGTGTTTTATACTTGTGTATTTGTTATAATTCATACAGTGGAAGAAGTTACACTGTTACAAGCATTTGTACAGGTATTGGGCTAATAGTAATGGGAGAAAGGCCAGGGAGAGGAAGGTGCCCTTTTTTTGAGCTGGCATGGTGTAGCAGATTTTTTAAAAGTTAAGCAGAAGACTCATTCTCGGAATTTGAGAGTTCTCAGATGTATATGCAACTTCAATACTGTGGGTCTTCCCTATCAACTTGTATGTCATAGAATCATTATCATTAACCAAAATCAGTGTTTAATTTAGATCAGAATTTTTGTAATCTACACTCTTCTTTTATTTTAAATAAATTAGAATATATTGTATCACAAAAAATTACATTCATGAGAGCCTGTCTGAAGGTACTGAGTACTCCCATTTTTTGTTTAGTTGTAGGTCATCCACAATCAACGCCCAAAAATTCAAACCATATTAATACATTAATATGAGGCATGTTTGTTTTAGCACCTGAAAGTAAATGCACATTCATACTGTCAAGTAATGGAATGAGCAGAGAAGGTTGCCATTTGGTTCTTGTTGAATAATTGTTCCTGAGTTATCTATTTCAAAGGCTGTATTGACATTTCTATACTGCTACACAAATATATGCTTCACTAAAATTCCAAATTTCCCCCCATTACTTTCATCCATCACAATTTAAAAATTCAGTGTACTTTAAATGATGATGTGAAGCTTGGATTTGATTTAGAAATAAAAATTGATATTTAGGCATATCACACCAAAGTTAGCTAGTAATTCTAGCTTCTCAAAGGGCATGTAAAAGCTTTAAGAATTTTTTAATGAACTCACTAAGGGAATTCTGCCATTTCTCCATGTAGTCACTCATGGATCTCAATAGAAGTTGATATAATAAAAGTTTTGGGGATTTCTTCCAAAAATCTTGGGAAAGTACTCATGAAAAATGTGACTTTAGTCTGATGCAAGAACGAAGTGGTGTTTGAGCATAGCAAATTATTTTGTTCAGTGGTTCCTCCATAGTTTAGATGTTGTCTAGCAGATGCCAGATAAATAAATTGGCTTTTCCTGGTGGTGGAGGAGGTAGATGTATGTTTGAACTTGATTCGTATTTTGGTTAGTCTGTTTTTCTTAATGAACTGAGTCATATTTTCAGCTCCATTATAGAGTGGGTTGTTGTTATTTTGTTTCCAAAAAAATTGAGGCAAACCCTTTTTTGGTGTACTGAAGATGCATTCCAAGGATCTCAGCCTTGGTCTCATTGAAGTTGCTGAAAAAGTTGTGGTTGAAATCATAAGAGGATTAAGCTCTCAACTAACACGGACTTCTACTCCTGAGAAGCCATCTCCTAGTTATTAAATTCTTAATGTACTGAATATTAAAACAGGAGAGAAGTGATTGCCTCAAACTATATCTGCAAGGCAGATAATACAGAAATAAAAAGAGCTTAATTGTGGGGAGGGTTGGAAAGAGGAAACATTCAGATAATAAATAATTTCCATTTCAGCAGAGGGGCACTGCAGCTCTCTTTTGCTCTGTTTCAAGTCACATTCCTGGGAGTGTGTAGGCTTCTCCAATCATTCTGCCTAATTTCTACTCCACCTCTTGGATGTACTTTCTTGCAGAAATGACTGGCTGCACACGGACACACCTGTATTTGGTTCATTATTGTAAGCAATTGCGGTTTTGCCACTGATGTATTTAGTAGATAAGTTTAAAAAATTCTGTTTATTTAGCTGATAATTGTAACCTGGGAAACAGGATCTGTTTGTTTGATTGTAAGCCAGGCTGCACTGAAAAGTTACCCTTAGGCCCTGACAGCTGAAGATTTCTAGGGCTGGGACTGTGGTGCAGTTCTGAGGCAGCTGTTCTTCAACATTTTTTCTGTGGGCATATGTATCTAAGTGGAACCTATAGCAAAAATGCACCAGTATTTTGTTTCTCACTTGAACTTGGGTAAAGTGTTATTGTATTTGCTTGTATTTTAAAACTACTGAGTCAGATTTATTGGTAAGAAGTACGAACCCTATAAAAACTACCACTGATGATATACTGAAGTACTATATTGAAACACTCACTATTCTCTTATCTCAAAAGTATGTGTTTATAGGCACCTGCCTCTAGGATAAATGATTTTGCCACTGCTCACATGAAGATTGTTATTAACTGTAGCATTTTTCCTCTTACTCTACTTATGTGACTTTTCTAGGTTGTTTGTTTTAGCTATCAGTTAAACACTCAGCATAGTTACAGTGTGTGAATCTGTCTTAAATTTGCCCAAGCTTTGCATGGCACAAAAAATCAGGAAATGAAAAACCAGACCTATATGTTTCTATTTCTATACATTTGGCTTGTCTCTTGACAGAGTAAAGGCAGGCTTCTTTATTTTGGTGCAGTTTCTTCAAAAGTCTCTCCAGCAGCTACAATTCTTTCATTATTCTGTGATTACAAGAAAGTCACCCATTTGTGTGTGGTGAGCCCATGCAGCTGGCATCAATATGCCAATATTCTTTTCCATACTTCTTTAAATCAAAGGACCATCTATCCTTTAGAGAAAGGTCCACTGACTTCTCTCAGTTTTGCTTTGTTTGGTAGGATGAGTAAATTCCTAGTTTTAAGTAAAAGAAAAAAAATTATTGCTTACTGTATTTTGTTGTTATAAACACCATAAGAATGAAACCTGCAGCTTTGAATGGGTTCACATATTTGTGAACTCAAAATCTGTAAGTTAATTTTATATTTTAGTTTCTAAGGAGATCAGGTCTGTGCTTACTGAATTTGCTGGCAGGAATCCAACTTGAGTCCTAGTAAAACACTCATGCCAACTGCGTGGGAATATCTGTATGTGTCTTAAAAATAATTACACATTGAAATAACCTTGCTGACCTTGCCTCTAAAGACTTACAGAATTCCAGTGGCATGTTTTATGGTACTGCAGAGGGGGAGAGGGAACAAACTAGAGCTTATTACCCACAACCTCTGACTGTTGCCCTTGGGATTCTAAGCCATTGGTAGCAACCGGGAAGAATTTAAGAATTAAGCTGCAGTATCAACTTGCCATTAGTTTTCTCATTAGCCAAGATTTCTAAAAACACAGAAATAGGGTACCTGAGAGGAGTTGGCTTATGCTAGGTGCTGATTTCAGTACCAATTTTCAAAAGCAGAAAATGAGATGCTTCACTTCACTGTCTAAACCTTCTAATATGTGTGAGTCAAATGTTTTTTCTTCTCAGAGTCCATAGGAGTAGTTGATAGGTTTTGATTGTGGCAGGTATGGTCTGATCTCTGTTTTCTGGCGACTTCCCAAACTGTTGAGAGGCCAAAGGCAACACTGGTGTTTAATTACAAGCAGCACAGATTGTGGACATAAAAAAGAATCAGCAGCAGGAAACCTGTAAGCTGTCAACCTTCTGTCAAGAAACAGGAAAGAATCCTCTGCATGGAAATTAAGTAGTTGATATGAATGTAGGAAATTTAGGTGCTCCTTAAATTGATTAATAGGAAAACCTGGAAGAGGGAAAAAAGAAGAATCAAGGGGTAAGAAAATACTGGAGGAGAAGAAAGATAGAGATATACCCTAAGATCAGCTCTTCCACATGTTTAGCTGTGAGCTGTTACCTGTGGGGAGTCTATACAGGGTAGGGTTTAAGATGGTAAAGAGAAAAGGTTTGTCCTTCTCTTTCCCTGCCTAGTAAAGCTGCAGGCTTCAGTTTCAACTTAAAGGACTAAAACTGTCTTCTTCCTTGAGTTGATCTAGTGTGGCTGGCTTATTTTCTGGAGTACTGAGATTTGTGCATAACTTGAATACTCTCCATTACAAAAATGAAAAAGTTATTGATCTTAAACCTTAAGAATTAAAATTTTGATGTTTATAGTCTTAATTCACATTGCACACACTGATCATATTCAGGAGGTTTTTGGGGGGCTTTTTTTTTGTTCATTTGAATAATTTTTCATGTTTTAGTACAACAGGTATGACATAACATTCCAGGTATATTTCTTGGTGCTACAAGTGTTCTTGTTGCTAAGGGTCAAAGCAAGCTTGTAACACATCATAATTCTTAAGCTTTTTCGTTTGTTTCAGGGTAAAGGACTTGGAAGAAAAAAAAAAAAGAAGTGTATCATAATGAAACTCTGAGAAAGCAACTATGTCTATAAGCCTAAAAATCTGGTGAGATCAATTTCCCATTCCATATTCTGTAATATAGATGTCTTGTGATTGCTGTGTGAATTTTTGTATAGTACTGTTTATATACTTGTGTTAGGTGATCCTACATAACCTTCATCCATTACTTAGTGGATATTTATAAAGATATCAAAGAATATTTTTGGCTTTGTTTTAGTTCAGACCTGCTTATCTGAAAGTGCTAAATGACTAACTGCAGTGAAATCTTTCAGACACAGATAAAAGATAATAATCTTTGCTGGTTGTTAATATATTTGCCCAGGTTAAGTATGTGAAATTGCTACTCAAGTGGCAACCTTCCCAGTTGGGATCAACTGTAGTAGCAAGGTCAGGTTGGAGGATTTCTGAAAGATGTCACCAATCAGTTGACCTAGTTAACAGATTCTTACAGAAACCTCATAGCACCAGTAGAGCATTTGAGCTCTGTAGCAGTGACAGTGAGAGAACTTCTGAAAAGGCTGTGAATAACCACGGATAGGAATCATGGCTAAAATGGATGTTGAATGTGTTGCAGTATTTTTTTCTCCTGATAGCCATACAAGTCTAATTCTTGAGCTCACAGCATTGTGTAGTTATTTTCAGTCATTCAAAATGCATTTAAAATTATACTATGCATTATTTACTAGATTAGTAAACACTGAGTGTTTGAATAGATGTTTGCCTGTATCAAGCAATTCAAGTATGTAAATATTTTCATTGCAAGCATAGAAGAGTAGGAAAACATACACTAGTAGTAGGAAACATACACTACTTCCCTATGTGTAGTGTATGTTTTTCACATACACTACACATAGGGAAGACATGTAAAGGGTTTTGGTCCAGAGAAGTAACTACAGTTTTATACCAGATGAAGGAGAAGTATCTTCTAGCATTGTATCTCGAAAAAGTCAAATGTACCTGAATTTAACCTAATGTTCCTTGTCAGGAAGCCAGAATTAACAAATTCCACAACTGTTCTTGCAGATAGGTTTGTGAAACCTTACTTCATGTACTAAAGTCAATATTTGTTTCAAAGTCCAAAGACCACCTGTACTGTAAACATCTATGAAACACTGCAGCAAAAACTCTTGGGTAATAGCTGTTTAAATGCATCAGTCTTTTTCCTAAGATACTGAGGAAATCCTGATGGTTTACACTGATAATGTCACAAGACACGGGAAAGCAGAAGATCCTACAGAACCCAAGCTGCTGAAAGCCAGCTGAAGCTCTCTAGCCAAATTGATACAAAGATCTCTGGCTGTAATGGGGTTTAGTCTGGGCAGGTGATCAGACCTGTCATTCGCAGTAAAGAGCCCTAACTACTCCCACAGAAAGAAACTGTGGCTGCCTGTGGATCTCATGTGTGATCACACCCCGTGCAATTGAAATTAAGGTTGTGCTTTGTTACATGTCAGATGATAGTCTTTCCCTAGCCAAACAACTGACCATAGCAGCTGGAAAAACATCCAGTAAAATATATAGATAGCTTTTTGTAAGGTTTAAGGGAGATAAACATACCTGTCTAAGGCATAATTTTAACAATGAATGGGTGAATTTACTACATTTACTATGGTGGCTTATGGGTAAAATGCTAAATATGTATGTTGTACACTGCTACATTTGCAAACTGAAACTTTTAATTGTGTGAGGTGAGTATGGAACAGGGCTGTATTTTCTCCCTTCTACCCTCTCATCATTTGGGAAGGATACAAAGAACTTGTGATTCTGTTGTAATAGGCCTTCACATAAGCATGTAACACAAACAAAAGCTTGTGCATTGCTCTACAGAGCTTACAACTTAAACAGGAAAATTGCCAAAGACTAAAGGCAGAACTAATTTTATACCAGTATGGTTTAACGCTGTTTAAATGAAGCAATAGTAACCAATCAGCAAATGGAATACTTTAAACTTTAACTAATCTAGCTATTTTTGCACCATTTTTGGTACAACAAGGGTTATTTATGAAAAATTATTAGAAAAAAAGACTTCTAAATTTATCATTATCTTGGGATTGAGACATGAACTGCTAGTACTTTTATTAGGTGAATAAATAGAAAATTAATTTGTATTCATTTCTGCTAATTTAAAGAAATAATTCTCCCAGTGAAATTAATGCCAAGATATATTTTAATAAAAGCCCAATTTAACTCCAGTGTAGCTTTAATTATTTCCTAAGAAATTAAAAGTTGCCACTTCATGTATAAAGGCCTGGCACATATTACTTTATAACATGGCCATGAACAACCTCTTCAAGTTGGTCCTGCTTTGAGCAGAAGGTTGGAGTAGAGACTGTCCAGCTTTAAACACTGTGATTCAGTGAGGCATTGGAATAGAGAATTTGAGGTCAAACAGATGCAAAAAGGACAAGCACCAGGCAGAGAAGCAAAATTATTCTCTGATATTGGTAATGGAAGAACCTGGAAACACTTCTTAGGTAATGGCAGGGATGGCAGCTGGGAGATGCAACACAGGACCTCTCTGAGGCTGATGTTACTGTGGAGTGAGTTACATAGAATACACAACAAGAAATCGCTCTGACTGGAATTGGTATTTACTCAAAAATTCATAAAAGCCCTCCAGAATGAAAGGGCTGAATTGCTCATGGTCATGTGCAGGAGGTCCCATAGCCCAGTCTGGAGAAGGTGAAAGGTGAGATGAAGGAATAAGTGCTGGGTGATAGACACCCATCCCAGGGCACACACTACCTTCTTTCCTGCTACAATCACAACCTTTTTTTTCCTGCTCTGCAGTATTTATTTTACCCCGAATGTTTATGTGCCAGTGAAATCTACACCTGCGTATTTGGGAGGCCTTGAGTCACTCTCATTTTCCAATAATACTAGATAGAGGCAAGAGTTTTGAAGCAGGTGGGGAGCAAGTTTTGAATTCCCCATGTTCAAACTCTATTGCTTTGATCAGGTTTGTCATTCTTCATGCAAAGGAAATAAACACATCTTAATAAACCTTCCTTATGTTAACTCTAAAAATAAACCAAAACAACCATTCCCCCTAACCAAAATGTAGAGGCTAAGTCAATGCTTTTCACCAACCAGCCAAAAAGCCCTAGAGGATATTCCCATGAGGCTTGCAAAATTTATTGCTCATTTTCAATAGGAAAAAAAGATGGACTGCAGTAATTCCTTGAAAACACATTATTTGTCTAATACAAACTACTAATAGTAAACAGCAAAAATGGACTAGTATTAAAGTTGTTTTTGTAGGCACCTGAAAAACTGTTTCCACAGGCATTAGATAGGAGTAAATTCCTTGCATGAAGTGAAAATAAAATAGCCAAGTAAGAAATTTAAATTATTGGCCTGTTAAACAATTAACTTGGTAAAATTATATGTGAAGATAAAGGTGAGAGAACAAAACAGAAGTATTTAGGAAAACATTTTCCTACGTGTTATTTGTACCCATGAGGTATTCCTGTGTATTGCTACGCTTAAACATGTTTTGGTTCTTTAGTGTAGTGGAATTGTAATTTTAAGTTATTGTAGTAAAAGTGTGTGATCTCTACATATCAAGTCATTATCTTTAACATGTGAAAGCTGTGATGAGAGAGAGAATTGCACAGCTTAAGAAATGGTCTTCCCATAACTGATTCTAGTAATGCAGAATTCTTCCAAGCTATTGATACAGTCCTCACTCAAATGAAAGCACCAGAAACTTACCATGGTGGGTGAAGCTGTAGGAAGGAAGGAGCCTGTACTGCTTGCTAGGAAAACTTGATTTTTCTGCAGCTGAAGTGAGGATGCCTAAGTCTTAGAGATACCTGCTTTCTTTGCCTGTCTGCTGTCCTAGTGTTTGTCTGTCATTTATTACCTCAAACTTGTTTCTCACTTCTACTGATGTCATTCACCCATGTACGCTCCATTTTCAGTGGTTTATAACCTGAATGGGATATAAGTAGTGACAAGAAGGGAGATGGGAATGCACAAGTAAAAGGAGAAAAAAAACAAGAAGAAAGGGAAAATGTGTTTTAACTAAATGGATATAAGCAAGACAAAATGAGGGAAGAGGAGAAAGGCAAATAAATGTAGAAAAGGAGAAAATGAGCAAGTAAAACAATCTGAATGAAAATGAGAGGTCTAGGGTCAAGACAATTTATCACTCATCTTTCTAGAGAATCACCGCCATCAATAGCAATGATTCATAACAGTTTCTGTCTGTTAAATCTTGTCCACTGATTTCCAGGGCTCTCTCAAGGCTGTGATAAATCTCTGCCTCTGGTAAGTCTTTGTTATATGAGGTAGAAGAGGGGTCGTCTTGCAGAACTGCTGTGAGTAAAAGCAGCAAAACTATAGGATGGTGCCAAATATGAAGACTCTTAAAGTCAATAGAAAGACTTACATTGCTATTCCAATTGAAATGGTGGTTTCAATTGACATTATAGACAATACAGAGAAATACAGAGGGCTGGTGCTGTCTTTACATCAGGTTTTTTCCTGTCTTTAGCCTCATTTGAAAGCACAGTAGTCATACTGATTTGGAAGATTTTATCAATAGGTATCTTCTGAGCAAAGATCATAGAATATGGTCAAAAGATAATACAATGATGGGCAATACATGAATTATAAAGAGATTCACAGAGAAACTTCATTAGGGCTCAATTCAGGTGAGTATGGCAATAAAGTTAATAGAAAATTTGGAATCCTGTTACATTGAGTGATGAGTCATTATCAATAAAATGGAATAAGGAAAAATGCTGATACCAATCATTCTCTTAGTGTCCTCCTTTTTTTTTTTCCTCATGGACAGGACTGCTATGCCAAAAAGACATGATGGTAAAGCACTATCTTACCTTTTTACAAATATTTAAAAAGTCAAATTGTCTGGGAAGAGAAGCCAAATTAAACATTACATAATCCTACAATGTTTAGCATTGGTCGTAGATGTCCTAGAAGAGAACATGCTGAGATGCTTCATGGCCATAAAGCAAATGTGTTGCTCTTGATAGTAAAAGCACAGCTGGAAGAAGCTCAAATTGGAGATTTTACACAAGTTAATGTGAAATACAGCTGGCAGCATTTCTGGAGTACTAGTACCAGAGAGGCTTTTTAATGAAGGGTGACCTCCAAAGTTCACAAGGACCAATTCATTTAACTAAACAGAAGCAAGTGCAAAAAGAAGTGTGAAAGCAAAGTAGACAATGGTCCTGCAAACTCATTCCTCATGTATGTCAATGCTTGTTCTCTTCAGCATTTTGAGAGCTTGTAGGTTTTTTTATTTTTACATGTGATAAGAGAATTGTGTGAGAGTCCTGCATTCTGCTGAAGTGTTACCTTAAAACCATGAATGTGAATTCCCAAACTACACTTTCTCTCCTTAAGTGGCACTGAAAACCAAGAAAAAGCAAAACCAGAAGCAAGAGATAGTGGAACTCACAGGCTAATGATAATCAGTCTTGTCTGCTTTTGCTGGATAATTGTTTGTAGAATCAGAAAGAGAAAGCTTAATACACGCAAAATAATTTTTTGCTTCATCCATTCCCTTTGTGTCTTTTGGTGCCTTCATAAGGAAGAAGAGGAAGAAGAAGAAGACATTGCATTTAAGAATGAGCATTTATCAATGATGTTATTTTACTTTAAAAGTTAATATAATTTTGAATGCTACAGATTAACTAGGTTTAATATGGGTAGTTACTCTTTGGTCTTTTTTTTTTTTTACAAATTCTATTTTTCTGGGTGGTGTTAATATGTAATTTATTCAGGCTGGGGTAGTATCTTCATGTCAGTGGGTTGACCACAGTTTACTCCAGAGAATCTGTGCCTCATAATGTGTATCTGATGTGTGAATTTGTGGAAGTGCTTCATCCATTCCCTTTGTGTCTTTTGGTGCCTTCATAAGGAAGAAGAGGAAGAAGAAGAAGACATTGCATTTAAGAATGAGCATTTATCAATGATGTTATTTTACTTTAAAAGTTAATATAATTTTGGAATGTTACAGATTAACTAGGTTTAATATGGTTAGTTACTCTTCGGTCTTTTTTTTTTTTTACAAATTCTATTTTTCTGGGTGATGTTAATGTGTACTTTATTCAGGCTGGGGTAGGATCTTCATGTCAGTGGGTTGACCACAGTTCACTCCAGAGAATCTGTGCCTCATAGTGTGTATCTGATGTGTGTATTTGTGGAATTTTTTAAGTGCAACCAGTGCTCATCATTCCATAAGATGAATTCTGTACAATAGAAAACCAAGGAAGAGTATTTGAAATATGAGCATTTATCAATGATGTTATTTTACTTTAAAAGTTAATATAATTTTGAATGCTACAGATTAACTAGGTTTAATATGGGTAGTTACTCTTTGGTCTTTTTTTTTTTTTACAAATTCTATTTTTTTGGGTGGTGTTAATATGTAATTTATTCAGGCTGGGGTAGTATCTTCATGTCAGTGGGTTGACCACAGTTTACTCCAGAGAATCTGTGCCTCATAATGTGTATCTGATGTGTGAATTTGTGGAAGTTTTTAAGTGCAACCAGTGCTCATCATTCCATGAGATGAAGTCTGTAGAATAGAAAATCAAGGAAGAGTATTTGAAACGAACAATTCCATGTCGATGATTATTAGAGAGGGGCCAATGCTGCAGCAGATTACTGGTGAACATTCACAGGCATTGGTTATTGTTTTCAGGAATGTAGGCAGAAAGTGACAATTCTGAGTTCTTACATAAATATGTAGCAGTGAGAAATTTGAATCCAAGGATCCATCTTGGGGATTTTTAAAATAATGGTATGAATAATAATAATAATAATAGCAATAATAATGACTAAGGTTTGAAGTAAACTAAGTTTTTTAACTGAATAGTGATATGGAAATAATTTTTTTCATAGACCGATGCTTTGGGCAGAGATTGAGATAATAATGGTTTCTGTAAAGGAAATAAGGAAAATTACACCTACTTATAATGGTGCATTAGTGGTGGGCATTTTGTGGATCTGTCCCATGTTTACTTGTTTTTTATATACTCACTTCAAGACACAAATACCCACTAAATGCCCTCTGCCTTCATGCCTGACATACCATCAGCATATTCCAGACATGAGCCATTTGACTAGAGGAAATTCTCTGCAGCAGAACTCATCACTGAGCTCTGAGATGTGGCAGTTATTGCATTTATAAGGGTTATGGAATGTAGTGTGGGAATATGATACAAAAGTATAATTAAAATGGACCTGTATTAATAGAAGAAAGAACAGTGGAAAAGAAAAGCAAAGGCTGAAGAGCAGGCTCTGTGTAGCAGACTGTGAAGCAGCCGTGGTGCTAGATCTTATCAGATGTTTTGTCTCTCAAATGCGCACGACAAATGAATGAAAATTTAAAAAATTATTCATGAGAGAATTCTAGTTTTCTAGAGATGAAAAAGTAAAAGGAAAATACGGTTGTATGATGCAGAGCAAACTTCTTCTAGTCCTTTGTTAGGAAGGATGCGAGTTTACACATTTTGTATCTATCCCTGCAGAACCACAACACAGAGTTGGTAGTACACCACAAATCCCAGAATCAGGGGAGAGCCAAAGAGAAAAGCAGCTGACCTGAACTGTCACTAGCACTCTTGCGTTACTTCACGCTCAGTGGAGCTGCTAAGATAACCAATCTTGCACAGGCTGAATCCAGAGTGTTTCCAAGAACTGAGTTAATTAGTGAAGTATCCTCAAGTTAACTAACTCCCCTGCCAAGAAATGGGCTCTTCCATTTTCCTCACATGATTATCTGGGCACTTTCACTTTTCCATATATAGGAGCAGTTCAGGGACTGACAGATCAGGCTAGGTAGGGATACAGATTCAGGCACATGCATACTCCTTACCTGCAGGCACGGATGCAAGCACATGCTGCTTTCACACACTGAAATTCAAGTTAGCTCGAGAGGTAATAAGTGAAGACAGCAATAGTCCTGCTGCTAAAGAGCCTTCTTAAACAGAAGGCACTGAAGGTAGAGCTCTCCAGCCACCGTTTGCAGTAATCCATCAGGAGCAGCATCACAGCCATGAACGGGCCGGTGGATGGTTTATGTGATTACACGCTTGATGATGAAGGGGCTTTCATGTTCACGTCGGAGTCCGTGGGAGAAGGACATCCAGGTAAGAAGCCAGCTCTGGTATAAGTCTAAAAAGTGTAATATTTTTATTTGAGGTATTTTAAAAGCCTGAAGAAGAATTCACCTGGTGTTAATCTTACTAGAGAAGTTATTTTTCACAGAGTGCTTTTTCTACTTTATTTCTAGTGGACTTTGTCCATACAGACTGTAGAACTGCTATAACTAGAGTGCTTCCAACAGGAGTTTATGTGCTTTTGCAGGGTGTGTGTTCAGCTGAGGAAGGCAGTGAGGTTTATGGGTGCTGCTCCTTCCTTTTCATCTAAATTTCTTTCAGTATTCCTCTGGAGACACTACTGTATCTCTAACAGGCTCAAGTTTCCCATATGGGTGAGAATGCATAGCTTGCTTCTCAAGTTCCAGATCTTTATGGGTCCTGTGAAACTGTCCTGCACATATGGAGTGGTCTAAGACTGTCACCTATGTCAGGAATATCCCTAAGCAGTCTATCTTAGAGCCTTTTTTTAGTGGTCCCAGCAGCTGTACATGGCAAAGCCACCAATTTGCCCCCTGCCTCCCACCCCTTTCCATCATCTGATGCAATATATGGAATTGCTTAAGCAAATAGTGGACAGTTATTTGCTAAACTTTATGTATGGTCAGCAGAGATTAGTTCAATTTTATTGAAAACAAATATTCATCCACCGTAAACATACACCTTATGTCAACAGCAACTGTTCCCTCAAGTGAGGCCAGGGGACAATGGGCTATTTGAGGTCCTGAAAAGTGTATTTGTTTTAGAAGCTAATTTGGTGGCCTGTGCTTTTTGCTGTAATAAGGCTTTTCAGGTCTGTATTCATGTTCTGTGAGTAAATCATAAATGGGTGGAATGATGTTATAGCAGAGGATAAAAAGGTCAGCAATGAGAACTTTATGTCTATAGTTTGATACTCTTCTAGATGAACTTATTACTGCAGATCAAATCCATGGATGATGCAATTGAGTACCTCTCCATCAATGTGAAGGCAACTACATCAGGTTAAACCAGTTGGGGTTCTTTCTGATGTAATACAGTCAGAAAATGACAGCCACGTTTTGTCCTTGGAACCTATGTCCCACGTCAAATTTATATGTATTTGCATCCAGTGTCTGTAGTGCTATGTAGTTTCATGGGAAATATCACATAATACAGTGTGGTAATTTTACATGGATAACGTTATTTCCAAAGCCAACTGGTCACAAGTTATGCTGCTCTAATCATTGGTTTTTAATCATTTTGGGGCAAAAATAGGGAAATCTCAGAGCAGAGAGAGTTCAACTGAGTCTCCAGATTTAGCTTTGTCCCTTGGTTTGTATTCTTACCACTCCTCTCTTTATCTTGGTTCTTGTTTTAGAATTTGGCCACTTTTTTAGTTCTTACATTCCCTCCTTTATTTCCAAACCCTTTATTGGGCCTTTCTTTGAAGCCCCCTGAATTTTATTTTTCTCCTGCGCTGAAATCCTAGGCAGGCCCTTGAGAAACACAGTTACCACTTGGATATCCCTGCAGCTTCTCTTGCCTGGCAGAGCTTGCTGGGTCTCTGGATAGTATGAGATACAAAGTACCAACCTGGGATGTTTATTTTGGAGTGAGTGGAAACTGAAATTTACCTGGGTGTTTTCAAGGCTGTGATGCTTTCTTAAACAGCCTAGATCTTCACTTAGGGTAATGAAAACCCCAATGCCTATGGCAAAGGGAAGATCGAGATTCCAGATCAAAGGAGGACAGGCTGGCAGTAACTCTGGGTTGTCCTGCAAATTCTTTTCCTGAGCATCAGCATTGGATCTGAATCATCTCAGTGACAGCTCTGGCTCCTGACAGCAAATTGATCACCCCTACATCATGCCCAAGCCCCCCTTTTTCCCCTCTGTGGTTTTGCACAGGAGGTGTAGACATGCCATTAGGATTTTATCACCCAGGAAAATCTTGGCTATTTCTTAAAATGAGGCCCAGTGCCTGAGGCTATAGTTGGGCTTCTGATGTTATCTGTAGCAATAGAATTTTATTGTGAGTTTTGATTTCCTCTGTTTATACAAAATGGATAATTTGCGTGTTCTTGATTATTTCTCTTCCGTATGTAATAGTATAATTTTGCTAGAGGGCATTATGTGAAGTAAAGATCCTGAACCAGATCTTTGTCTGGTGGAAATTTGAATTGTTCTGATTGTATTAGCTGAGTATTGAATGCTTTAATGGAGACCTTCTTAATGCACAAAGCAAGAGAAATTACATGCTTATTTATTTGAGTGTACAGAGAGCTGTATTTGTGCAATGCCTGGAGCTGGGTGTCACTGAGAAGTCTGGATTCCATAGAAGCAAGGAACAGCTGTCAATAATTGACCTACAGGTATCACCTGTGCTCCCCAAAGACATTATAGAAGACTGTTTGTGCCATCTTCTCACTCCAGATTCCTCAAAATCCCTTGGCCATAACACTTGGGAATTCCTTTCAGATCTTTAATCATTTAGTGGTGTAAATTCCAAACTCTCTGAAGACTTACACATGACTTCTTCCTTTCAATATAACAATAAAAGCACACAGACAGAAGCATGAAAAGGATAACTCTTTATTTTGGTCTCTATTTTGTCAATGCTCCATCTTCCTTAGCCCTGTAGTGTCTGTCATGCTGCACAGGCTTCATGGTGCTTTGAAAAGCACGGTGTGTTTCTGTGCCCCACAATGTCTTACAGATGTCACACCACCAAGGAGTAATTCCCTGCCCTAGCTGGTGTGGCTTCAGGTGGAACTGGCTGCAAACTGGCTGCCTTGCAGTTTTCCAGAAAGTACTAAGGAATCTCTTTAAAAATACAAGACAAAACATCCTCTAAAAGCACCCTCAGGTTTTCAACCATACTAAAAGCATGTGTTTGTCTTGTAGATATTCACAGGAAAAAAATAATGAAGGAAAAAAACCCAGAAAATGCAGATCTGTCCAGCATGTCTTAGATATAAGATTATGTATATTTAATGATGTGCATGATACTTCAGTAAACTGTGCATTGAACAAGGAGAACAGCTGTAAAAGACAGTTGGACACTGCTTTCTAGTGGAAGTCTTTTGTAGGAAAGCTGATTTTTTAAATTAAATGCTTATGATAAGTATCTGCATTTCTTCCTTCTTTTTTTTTGTTGGGTTTTTTCTTTGGGGGGTTATTTTGGGGTGTTTTTGGAGTTTTTTTGTTTGGTTGGGGTTTTTTTGTTGTTGTTGTTTTTGGGGTTTTGTTTTTTTAGCGGAAAATTGAGAATTGCTCTGTTTGCCATATTTTGAATATAAAAATTCACATTCTAGTTTAATTTTTTTCTGTTGATAAAAATTACTTATCATTAAAAGTACTGAATTTAATGTTGATGATTACAGGTTTTGAAGAAAACCAACCTTGGCATTCAAAATGTTCAATGTTTATTATATTTACTACACCATCAAAGCCAGAAGTGTGGCTGTACCACTTCATTGTGCTTTGTGGAGCTTTTTTGAATAAAACTTTCAGGTTTTACTGCTGTTCATATATTTTTTTTCTCTCTGTGTGGTGAGTCTGTGAAACTGAATTCCTGTGAAGTTCTGAGAACTTTTGTTAGGCTCATACATACTCTAGATTCATGTAACAAACTTATGTCTAACTATCTGGAAAACTGGGAAGTTTCTTCTAATTATCAGAGATCACCTTTGTTGTTGAACACCTCCTTTACTTCCTGGGAGTTTGAGTAGGGTTTACCATCAGCCTCCCCAGACTCATTTTATGGTTGGCAAAAGCTGTTTCATGGCCTGTTGGCATCTCTGCCATAAGGCTGGGCCTGTGGGATGGCTGGATTTCATGAAAAGAGTCATGGCTATCTAACACTTTCCTGCTCAGTCATTTCAGATACTCCTTTTGCAATACTCGTTCTATTGGATAGTAATTAATGACATGAAGGTATGCATGGACTGAATTCTGCCCTAATAAATGGGTTTTTTAAGATTATATTGTCTCACCATAGGTGTTGCATTATGCTTTCCCTGTTTCTAAAAAAGAAGGCAAAATAAAAAGGAAAAAAAAAAAGTAAAACTTAACCTCTCACACTTAGCAGATAATAAGAGAAATGGGCCAGCTGAGATGAGAAATTTAAATAACATAATGGAGGGTGCACAAAGCCTGCTAAGCATTGCTAAAAATAGAATGGCTGGTTTTATTTTACACCAGAGACCTTTACTAATAGACATGCCTTTAATGCATTAATCAGCCAATCATCCAGCTGGATTTCTCTTTCTTGTCTTGATAGACATATCTGCATCTGGATTTGGATCTGATATGACATGTATTATCAAACTGATTTGCCTCAGACTATTTTAATGTAAAGGTGTGCTCCAAGTATAGTAAATCAAATTATTCTAATCTGTTATTTTAGTTTATTAGGGTATCACCGTAATAGATGTTAATGATCAGAAGGGTTCTTCTCCAAAGTATAATCTGATCTGACCTTCATATATCGATAGTAATATTTCATGCAAGAGTTCTTCAAAAAAGCTAGTAAATGGCAGTTGTATTTCATTCCTACCTTTTAAGAAGATACCCAGTTTTCACAGACTTTTGAAGGATAAGGAATCCTGCATGACTCTAAATCTTTTCAGATTTTCCTTTTTGAATCTTTGTCTGTCTCTTAACTTTCATTTATAAACTGTAGTTACATTTTTTCCCATTAGAAAAAAAACCCCAAACCCCTTTTCTCTCAGTGCAGTATTTTTAGGTTCTTAGGGACTGGAATCTCAGTGCCTATAGGGGTTTCCCCTGGCAGGCTGCTTTTCCTTCAATCTTTCAGAACCAGATTGAGTTTGATTGATTTCATCCTGTAAGATAGACTTATCTGATGTAGGGCATTCTTATTCTATCCTAAACATTCCCACAGCTCCTTAACACCCTTCTAGAGTGTTTTGGCAAGAATGCATACAATAATATCCCTATGTGGGCCATACAGGGAACTTAGGTATGTGGGGCAGTGGCATCTAATGCAGGTGAGACATGCTTCATGTGGAGCAAGGACAGCAATAAATGTTGCTCATTGAAACTCTGGGAGGTGCAAAAAAGACTACACAGCAGTCCCTGTCACTACAGTTTCCTGCTGGGTATTGGACCTGCACTAAGAAAACTATTTTATCCCCAGTTGCTCTGTTGTCTCACCCAGGTAATAAATTGCATATTGTTGTCAATATTTATTGCTTCTATGCTTGGAAATGTAGATATATTTCTTTATAAAATTAAAACTTTGAAGAGAGCAAGCAAAGATACATTTTAATCACTTCAGCCACCTTTGTACCCAGGTTTGCTAAACAGGGTTCAGTTAGATATCTAATTAAATTACAAGTCTGATTCCTGTTTGGTAATAATTGTCCCAAATTTAGGAATCCATGTACGGTTCTTGCAGGGCTGAAAGTTCCAATGCAGCCTACATTTGCTAGTTGTCTTTTGTGTTTATTCTTTTTATGTTGAAGTGGTATGATGGGAGTTAATATGGGAGATAAGAGTGTCAGAATCACATTAGTTCTCCAGTCCTTGATTTGTCTCCCTTAGCTAAATGTACACCTTTTTCATGAAAATAAGTGAGAATTTATTTTGACTTGAGCTTAAGTGTATTTTAAAAGCCTCTAATGACAGACTCTTACAAAATATTGCTTTCCAACAGATTGTGTTGCACACAGCAAGGCAGGAGATTAATTTATTTTGCCACACAGCTTATTATGTCAAAATCTAAAAGCAGTACTAGACCTTTTTTTAAAATAAAAAATTAAATTATATAAGAAAATGAACCATTTTCGTGTGGAAGAGATTGCTGTGGGTGCTGCCCTTTTGTGTCCATTAGATTAGCTAGATTATTTGATTAAGATTCAATATTTGTTTTAAAGATTAGTAAAGAAACAAAGAAAAAGATATTATTATGACAAACTTCAGCTGAAACCTTTGTATTTGGCATGTAACTAAAAGTTTACCTCAGGCAAACTTCAGCTGGTAACCCCTTCTTTGCTCCTGTGTGTGTGTTCCCTCTGCTGCCTTAGGTGGTTTGCAGGGATTATTAATAGGTGACATTGCCAGATGGTAGGAAGCAGTGACAGAAAGCAACCCAAACCCCAGCCCTCCACTGAGCTGTGCATTATCTCTATTAATCTAAACACTTTCTCAGGCTTTACCACCAGTGTAGGTCAGGTACATTGCAACTTTCTGTTGGGGTGGAGGAAGTTGTGGTGGAACATCACCATTCCATCAGAGCACCACTGCTTTGCAGAGCTGGTGGTCCTAGAGAGGGAGAAAGCTGCCAGCAAAACCTCTTAACCTCTCAGATTATTCTGTGCATTACACACTTGTTTCACATCCAGGTGCAGAAAACTACAGATAAAGTTCTAGTTAGTTTACACCAGTAGGTAAATGCCCCACTGTGTCTCCTGAGTTTACTTGAGGGAAATTTAATGTGTCTTTCTATACAGCTACTTTAAATATGCCAGTAATAAGCAGTAAAAGAATTCCTTTCTGAAATACCACTGAAAGTGATGCAAAGAGTGCATGTTTCATATTGAGTGCCGTGGTTTTGAGTCACAGCTTTGATGTCTTGCAGATAAAATCTGTGATCAAATCAGCGATGCTGTACTAGACGCCCATCTCAAACAGGACCCGAATGCCAAGGTTGCCTGTGGTGAGTTGATATTGCTTTGCTTTAAGCCATCACACAGTCACATTCTTTTTTTAGGATGTTTGCAAAGACCTAGCTTGTTTCACTCTCAAAAAATGACATAAGATTTTCAGTTTTCAAAAGGAGAATGAGAAGCAGCAGTAAAAGTTTTTGTAAAGACTGAAGAGCAAACAGGTTGTAGAAGAGTAGAGCCATTGATTTTGTGTGTGGACTGAATTGTCCTGGAAGGAACAGGTTTGCATATCACTGAATCATACTTGGTGCTGTGACTTTCCCATTTGTAAATTGGATATATTAGTTTTTTCCTTGCTTTCAGACAGATGGTGAATATGAAAAGAATTTTTTATGGATGGAGTTACAATGCTAAAAATATGGATAGAAAGGATTTACACTGTATACATCCAATAGATCTCTCAAAATCAGCATCATCACAAACACAGTTCTTTGTCTTAGTGGCTGGCTTATTCTGCTATTGTACTCCTGTTCTCATCTCTCTTTTCAGAGACAGTGTGTAAGACAGGAATGGTGTTGCTCTGTGGGGAGATCACTTCTCGTGCTATTGTGGATTACCAGCGAGTTGTCCGAGATGCAATTAGACACATTGGCTATGATGATTCAGCTAAAGGTTGGTGGAAAAACTCATGAAATCATGGAACAGCAAGCAATAGGCAACTGCAAAACAGGACTGTCACCACTTACACACAGGGGCTTTAGCAAGCCTGATACAAACTGAATGTGCTCTGTGAAAGCTGCTTACATGGTGCTACATGATACATTTTCTGGCTTTACCCCAGTAAGTATAAACCTTTTATTAGTTAAAACTGAATTTGGAGTAGGCAGACTATACTTTGAACTGTGGTATTTGGCCACAATAGTTAACAGCAATTTGAACCATAGAACTTACCACTCCTCCAGACTTGCAGGAACTTGACTCTTGGTTTTTCATTTGGCAAGCTGGTTGTTGCACCTTGGTGCAAAAGAGAGAGAAGAAACGTGGTTCATTTCATTATACCTTTGTATTTTTGTACTGCAGTAGCATTTGGACTTCCCAGGTGTAAAGGTGGTTGTCACTGCAGGGTGCTTTGTCAGCTCTGAGTATCTCCTTTTACACTCAGCAGTGTGTTGTCCAGACCTAGGTTGTGAGATGCAAATGATAAAAAAACACAAAATGCTCTGTGCACCAGACACCTTTCACTTTCTGATTTGCATGTATCTGTTTATACAGTAGAAATATTCCAAGTATTCTGTTAGAGTGAAGTGTATCTTTTAAGAGCTTTTGGTTTACAAGTTGTTTACTGCAGTCCTTTGATTGCAATTGAATTTGCAGGAGGTTGTGGTGGGAGAATATTACAGCAGCTCAGTTGCAGGTTGCCTGCACTGTCACACAACAGCAGTGCTTCCAGAACACAGAAGCAAATCTAGGAGGTGATAAATCTCCTTTTTATCCAAACTGTCGACAGTGATGAGGGGAGATTCGGTGACCCAGTAAAAAACAATTCCTAGAAGTAAAAAAAGAACCCTAAACCAAGCAATTATGTACAGAAATATAGTTTTCTTCTCTACATAGCCTACTGAAAAGAGAGTGAAGAGCATTCAAGTGGATCATATGCATATGGACACGTATATATGTTGTATTGGCTGAACATGAGTTTGGTCAGCAGCTATCAGTAGCTACAGTTCTAGGAAAGGTTGGATTTGGAGAGAAGCAAGTTACTATTAATATACCTAGGAACAGGTGGGAAATTTTGCCACAATCTTCTGTAAGTCTTTCAAATTCTTTTTAAAACCTTACTTTTTCTCTTGGAAAGTCATGTAAATTCCCATTTCCAGATTTGTTGTGAGACCTGAATCTGGTGTTTTTCTGTTTGTGGTTCATGCAAAGTCCCATGAGAGATTTGAATAGGGACACTGCTTTGTATGTATTACAAATAAAGTGGAGAAAGCAGAATCTTCAGTTGCTGAAAAACTCAGATTTTGGGAATTCATGTAGAGAACTTCATTAGTATTCATTTGGGTGAGGCTCATAATCTGTGTTGGCTTGGCACAGGGAGTCAGTGCAAGAAAAAATAACCTGTAACAAGCAAGAAGGGCAACCCTGTATGATCCACTCCATCCAGAAAAGGTTTCAAGTGTGGTATTGACAAAAATTTTACTAAAGAATAGCAGTTTGGTTTTGAGCTCTGAATGTGGTATCCTTCAGAATAAAAATTTTGTCCTCTGGTTCCAGGTTACTTTCCTTAATTGTGACAGAAAAAGTTCATTCACTGCTATTTTTTTTCCCTAATAGGCTTTGACTACAAGACTTGTAATGTTTTAGTGGCACTGGAACAGCAGTCACCTGATATTGCCCAAGGTGTTCATCTACACAGGAATGAAGAAGATGTTGGTGCTGGAGATCAGGTAGACATAGCATCACATCTAAAACACCAAAGCTGTTCTAATGGAAAAAGTTTACTCCATCTTAATGCCCTATTTGTTATGTCAAAACCCATCAAAGTATTTCCACACTTTCCTTTACGCCAGAATAAACCCCATAATTTTACTAAAACAGTTGGAGGTTCCTTGAGGGCAGGCTTTTGTTTTAGAACTCCAAACAAATCAGGAGTTGTAGTGGCTGAGGAGGTTCCCTTTAGAACTCAGCAAAGGCTTTTTGCTTATGTATTTCATGGTTTTGTTTTGTAGTTTTAGGTTCATCAAACCATTCATCTTGCAGCCAGACATGCCATATAACATAGAATAAACAAAGGAACTTTTCACATTCAAAGAGCTGTTGAGATTTTGTGCAGCAAAAAATTAGGTGATGTTTTACCCGCCCTCAGCATTAGTACAATAAATACCAGAGTACATTTAGTTCTCACTTATTCCCAGAGGCAGCTCTTGTATTAGGTGCTCCATGTAATTAAGCCTGTCCAAACTGCATTTCTCTGAGCTAGGAACACATGTAAGCATTTATGGTGTGTTCCCAAGAGAGAGATTCTAACAGAAAAACTGCCTAATGTGACTGATGCCATATGAGTTAATTCAACATTTACTAGTTATCATTAGAAGTAATATCTAGTTTATACAAGTGCTGTTGAGAACTGTAAGTGCAAGTATCAGAGTTCAGGAGCCAAGCTAATATTGTTAAAAAATCCCCCTTGAGGACTAAATTAAAATGATTTTCTGCTGTCATGGGGACATAATACTACATAAGAGGAAAAGAGATATGACTTTCTTTGACACTTTGATGGCCTCGCTTTCCATTTGATCAAAGTGCCTTCCTGTCTTTCCCCCCCCCCCCCGACAACCTACACTGGATGAGGAGAAAGAAAATGCTGCTAATTCTATTTAGCAAATGTTAATCTGATACAGGGAACATGACAGAATTATAAAAGTAGTACATAACAGTATGAATATAATATATAACAGTAGAAGCTGTGACTCTGAGCATGTGGCATTGAAAAATCTGAGGCAGGTGCCTTAAACTGTTTGAAGGGTATGTCCTTCATGGAGTGCTCACACCCCATTCCACTGAAATTTCATATGTGAGGTGCAGTAAGTATAAGTGTGTCTGTATTCATACATAAAAGTCTCTGGAACATTTCCAGGCTACTGAAAACATCTTTCCCATGACAGAATAGTCCTGAAATATTTTCTCCAGCAGATTTTTTTTTTTTCTATGACAGAACCTATTGGGGTTTTTTTGCAGATATGTCTTCATTTTTGTTCAGGTATCTAGCTCAACATGTAAGCCTTCAGGCTAGTGAAAAAATTCTAGGAACATGGTCTGCTTTTCATTACACTATAACGTGTTGGAGCCTGATCTGAGTTTTGGCTTCTTGCACTGTGATTAAAACAGTAGAAAGTAAACCTGAGGATACTGCTCACTCTTTGCTTCAGATGGTTGTGGTGCCTTTAACAGTGATTAAAGTATGTTCTCTCCTCCTGCAGGGTTTGATGTTTGGTTATGCAACAGATGAGACAGAAGAATGCATGCCCCTGACAATTATTCTTGCTCATAAACTGAACGCCAGGTTAGCAGAGCTGAGGCGTAACGGGGAACTCCCTTGGCTGAGGCCTGACTCTAAGACACAGGTAAATACTGCAGGGGATTGTCTGGAACAATGGAAACCAGCACCTTTCCTTTCCAGAAATACTGAATTATTTTTGAAGACAGCAGTTGATGTGTTTCAGCCTATCAGGACAACCTACAAGGAGCAGATAAAGCTTTTCCACTGCTTGTGACATTGTCTCCTCAGCTGTTGGAAAATGGTTAACTGGTCTCAGAGCATTCCACCATCTGCCACTGAAGGGACATTTAGCCCTTCAGAACTGAAGTGGTTCATGCTTGTTGGAAAAGTGACATCCAAAGGATTTACTTGTGTTTAGGGGTTCAGGCTGACATTTTCAAGATGCACTAGGAACATAAATTTCTGAGGCTTGAGGATTTTGAAGGAAATTCCACCTGAAAGACATATTTTGGATGATTTCGGATGATTTCAGATGATTTCGTAGAGAATCAATGGGTTCTTATTGAGTTGGGGTTTTTTCTTTTTCTTTTTCTTTTTCTTTTTCTTTTTCTTTTTCTTTTTCTTTTTCTTTTTCTTTTTCTTTTTCTTTTTCTTTTTCTTTAGCATAGCAAAAATTCAGTGAGGAAATAAGAAATAGGCTTCATTGGCATCACTGTGAGCAGTGCTCACTCTAACGTCAGTAATGATTTTGCTACGGTTTAGCTTTTGGAACAGGCAGGATGACATTTGATGGGTACCACTGACACACTTACAGCAGCTCTGTTGTTTTCCCCCGCTGTCCCTGTGTCCCCCAGGTGACAGTTCAGTACATCCAGAAGAACGGGGCGGTGATCCCCGTGCGTGTTCACACCATTGTGATCTCGGTGCAGCACGATGAGACCATTTCTCTGGAGAACATGCGCCGGACCCTGAAGGAACGCGTCATCCAAGTCGTTGTCCCTGCCAAATACTTGGATGACAAAACTGTTTATCACCTTCAGCCCAGTGGACGTTTTGTTATTGGAGGGCCTCAGGTTTGTGTTGTTGTGTTATTTTGGTGGTCATACGAGGTTGCTTTTCATTGTATGTGTGTCTTCAGTGCTTAGGTTTTGGCATGTCTGTCCCAGGGTAAGGAGCTCCTCCACTTCTCCTGATGTGGGAGAAGGGCCCAGGGTTTCACGTGTCCTATGCCAAAGTAACCTTTGAGGGCCTGGTGATACTGTACATGTGTTGTGACCAGGCAGGCAAGTCTGCATCCAATCTTCCATTGCATGTAGAGTGTACAGGCCAGTTCTGGGTTTTCTCAAACCCTCTGGGGACCAACTCTGAGTGACACCTGCAGTCTTTCCTTATGGGAAGCACCTCTTGTAGAGATGAACAAGAGAAGCTTCACTTCTTTTACAGTAAACCTGCTTTTCAGATCTGCATAGCTCTCACTGTTCTGTCTGACACCAGTAGAGCTGAAGGTGTTCATCTGTCTTGAAAATCAGCCCCAATAAGGCTTCTTCTGGTGAGAAAATAAATGTTCCTCTTACTTTTAGGCAGTGCAGGAGATGGGATTCATAATTTTATCCTGTTCTCACCAAAGTCAGGGAGAACTTCCACTCTCTGTAGGACCAGCAATTCTGAGATTTAGTTTTTGAAAACAAATTTAACATTATGAATGTTTTCATCTTCAGATGCCTTCAGAACTATCACAACAAAACTTCAAGGCTCCTTCCTGAAATTAGGTTCAATTTTACAACAAATCCAAGTAGACAGTGTTTTCCCTTTGTTTTACAAATTCTTTCACTTACCAGAATTTTCTAGAATTATTTCTAAGGCACTCTTTTTTATATTAGTGCCATGTAACAGGTAGGAAGATGTTTAGATTTTTCACTGTAATTATTGATTCTAAAAAAATGTATTTCTATGCAGTTGAATGGGTTGTATCACTGTAACTTTGTGTATCATTGACATCCTAGACTATGCACAAAAGGAGAGTCAAACTTGAGCTGTAATTTAGAGTGAATGAACCAAGGCAGAAATCATAGCTAAACAAAAAAAGAAGGCTAGACATAGAAAAATTTTTATGTGTGCAGTGAAGTGCACCCATTAAAAATGTAAATCTTTCAGATGTGTACTGAACTGCATCCATTTAAAAATGTACTATAGTTACAAGTGATAAGCCAGCCAGGTATTCCTTGCTGCTCTTGTGCTGGAGCTGTGTTGCATATGTTTGCACATGCACAGCGTCCATTTACAGCTGTTTAAACCTGGGCTAAGTTTACTCAGTATGGGTCAATCTGCCTGTGTGTCCATGACCTTCCAACTGCTATCATCACTTGTGCAATTTACAATGTCATTGCAGCATAGAAATAACTATTTCTGCTCTTGACTTCAACAGCTTTAGCTTTCTGCTTATTTCTCAGAAGAGTGTTACTCAGTTTTATTTTTAACAAAGCTACAGGAGGCTGTCTTACCTCAAGTTCAATTCATCTAAGGATGATACATATATTTCACTTGAGATTTTCATCTTATGTTTTTGAGTGTGGTGGGATCTTGAATTTGGGCTATGGTAAAATGAGTAGGTTTGCTGCTGTCATTGTTTCCCTGCCAGCAGTACCTGCTGGTGTGATGAGGACAGACCCTACAGCTCATTACAGCAATGACTTCCACACACATTACAAGTGCATTTGTACTTGTTCAGCACCTTTGAAACAAGGGGTGTTTTTTTGGCCTTTCACGTGTCCATTTATTCTTCCTCTCACTCACTTCTGCAGCCAAGTCATGGTGGCATGCAAGGTGTTCCCATTGCAACTGTCTGCACCATCAAAACTTGAGGTTTGAGGCAAGCAGAAAAACCCAAGGACAGGATCCTTTAATACATGCTCAGCTATCTAAAATCCAGATTTATGTTTCAGTGCTTTCTTAGCAGAATGGAACAAACAGTGCCAAAGGTTTACTTCTATATGCACAGTCTTTCTAAGAAAAAAACTTTGACTCCCCACTTGTGTTTGCCATGCAAACATTCCAGCAGTTAAATTTTAGTGACATGATGTTCTGAGGCAAAGAATTTCAAATCTCCCTGCACAGGTGGCAGCGGAATTTAAAATCTGAACATGTTTTCTTTCACACCAGAAAGCTTAAGGATTTAGTAAATTGCAGGAGTTGGACAATTAGTCTGGTGCCGAGCAGCTCACCCAGATCAAATGAAAATAGGTAGTACTTGTGAAGATCAGTCAGGATAGCTGTAGGCCACTAGAATATTATCTGTGCTTCCTTATTTAATAATTGAGAATATTCATCTATAAGTATCTGTTCTTAGAAATAAGTAATCCTTTCTCAAATACCTACCTGGCACTCTCAATGACTACCTAGTACTCAATGCCCATTGTGTACAGTTCAAATTAGACTATAAATATTTTGGGGTTGGAAATGCAGTTTTTAGTATATTTATGACAGTCTCTGATACTGCACTGGCAGTGCTGGGTGCCAATGTCTGTGTAACCATCTATAAGGTACTACTGACATACCTTTGACTGTAAATTAAAAAAGAATCTACTGTTTAATATTTACACAATTTGTGATTTTGACTAAAAGATATAAAAGCCTGGATTTTTTTTTTTTTAATATTTTAAACAGTATGAAATCTCTCAATAGTTCCTTTATGGCACATAATGTTTTAGCAATATCCCATAATAGGTTTGAATACTTAGTAGGTAATTTCTAAACCAAAGCTTCCATATTTACAATAAAAACAGGCAGTGTATGCTGTAGTTATCTGTGTGTAAGCCTGTTTGCTTGATTCACCAAACAAATTTGTGACTGGCTTATCTTGAGAATCTGGCTTTAAAGAGCAATTACAGCCACTGTTGTGCCTTGGTGAGACAAATTCATTCCTTCAGCTACCCCAGCAATGCCTGTGTGGTCAACCTACACTGGTTGCTGCAGTGTTCTGGGGGAATGCCTAGCCTTGTTTGAGACTGAATGGGTGTGAAATGGTCACTTTCTGTCCCTGGTGCAGGGTGACGCTGGTGTCACGGGCAGGAAGATCATCGTGGACACATACGGCGGCTGGGGCGCGCACGGCGGCGGGGCCTTCTCTGGCAAAGACTACACCAAGGTGGACAGGTCGGCCGCCTACGCTGCCCGCTGGGTGGCCAAGTCCCTGGTGAAAGCTGGGCTCTGCCGCCGTGTTCTGGTTCAGGTATGGTTTGCCAAGGGTGTTGCTTCACTCCAAACCATTTTCCCTTTTTAGATTTTCTTTTGAGTGCCCATGGTACAAGCCGCTGTAGCAGAAGTGGTGTTGCTGATGGTTTTTTGGAGAAAGGAAGATTTGATGCTTGGTTCAAGCCCACTGTAATGTCACTAATAATCAGCTGGCTTCTTAAAACTGGAACTTTGCATTTAGCTTTTTGGCTATTTTATTGGCTATTTTTATGGATATTTGTTGAGCCCTCAACCCTCTGACACTCACTGTCATTGAAATGAGCATGAAGTGACTGCATAATGGGGGAGAAAGTAGTCCAGAGGCCTTAGCATTTTCTCTTCTTTGTTTCTACAAATACAGATTGTGCAAATATGGGAAGCGAGGGAGAGGCCTTAGTTTTCATAAGATGATTCATAAATTAATGCTTTCACTGCTGCCCACTGCTGCCCCGAGGTGCTGTGTTTATTGGCTGACTAAGGTACCTTTTCCCCACAGGTTTCTTATGCCATTGGGGTTGCTCATCCACTGTCTATTTCACTGTTCACTTACGGAACTTCCCACAAAACAGAGAAAGAGCTGCTGGACATTGTGCACAAAAACTTTGATCTTCGGCCTGGAGTCATTGTCAGGTAAAGAAACACACAGAAAGGAAAATATCCCAGTAGTTTCACCCAAGAAATGATTTCTTGCAAAATTTTCAGCTGTTACTGAAGGTTTGGCCTTCTATAGTATATGGAAGTCAAATAAAACAACTCTTTCATTCCAAGAACTTTAAGTTACTTTGCTCTGATAAAAAGGTATCTCTTGGTTTACCAAAGGAATTTAAGGTTATTTCATCTTTTCCATTACAATTAATAATTCTTAATAATAAGGCCTTTTCCTGTAGCCCTAAGTTAAAGACATTACAGACATTTAAGTAGTGTTGTCACTTTAATTGTCTCCATTGAACATGTTCATTGATATGCTTGCATCCCCAGAAAATGCTTGCTTGTCTAAGGGGGTGGGATGGATATCAACATCAGGATTTTAATAGTAATTATCATGAAGTATCTTAATATGAATTTTTTTTCTTTCTTTTTATTATACAAACAGGGATCTGGATTTAAAAAAGCCCATTTATCAGAAGACTGCATGTTATGGTCACTTTGGAAGACAGGAATTCTCATGGGAAGTGCCTAAAAAACTTGTGTTTTGACCTTAGTGACATGTCACCTTTTAAAACCAGAAAGGAAGACCACTAATGATGAGGATGCTTCTGAAAATCAAATTTGACAGCTTTATATGCAACATAAGGAATTTTAGATTTTAAAAGGAAAGAAAGAAAAGGTTATTTTCTTGGAAATTGATTTTTTTTAACCCTCAGTGTCTTTCATTATCTAAGATATAATGGACAGAGTCTGTTTTTTTAATCAGCATAAGACAGCAAAATATAGTTTACTTTTAACTGCTGCTCTGTTGGTTCTTTGGATAAAGACAAAGTGTGACTCAGGTACTAAAACCAAAAGCTGAACCTCAAACCTTTGATGGGCAAAGGTGAAGATAACTTTCCCAACTCTGACTAAGGATCAGCAGATCTGTTGCTTCTGATTAGACAATGGGAAATTCTGGGGTCCAATTTCCTTACTGGAGTTAGCAATGCATACAATGGGGGCTGCTTTGGTGGGAGAAGGCTGAATAGCACCTAACAGTATCTTTGCCTCTTTTATAAAAGATGTTAACATAGGTGTAATATTTAAATCACCTTCAGTGCATATGTGCTGTTACTGTCGCATTTCAATTACCTGTGTTTTTGAAACACAAGTGCTCTCCTATGACACAACAATCATAGAATAAAAAGCTTTTTCCTGCCATGTATGTAAAGGTGTATCTTTTTCTATGGTTTTTTAATGCTGCTGTAAAATGGTCCATCTTAACTCAGCTGCTTCTACTCTTGTAGGAATTTAGTTTACCAAAATAATTAAATTTGATTTTGAAATTGTTATGTGCATTTCCCTGTTAATACGTGTATGATCACTCTTTAGTCCCTGTGACTAATGGAAATTCAGTGAATAAGTATTAGATTTTTATTTGTAACTCTTAGGTTTGTGCTAGACAGTATTTTTTCACCATTTTTGCTCCCAAGCACCAGGTTTATTGCACACCTTTATGTGTTCGATATAGGCTGGAAATAAAATATAGCTGAAAGAAAGAACTTTAGAACTTCACCAGACACAGGTTACATTTGGAGCAATGTCCCCCGTGTGCTCAGCTGTGGAGCCGGGCTGTGCCGGCACTGGGTGGTCAGGGTGGCTGCATTGCTGCTCTGGTGGCTGCCTTGCTGCTCTAGTGGCTGCATTGCTGCTCCAGTGGCTGCAGGCTGCTCCCGGTGTCCCGGTGTTCCTGCCCACAGGTCAGGGTGGCTGCTGCAGGTGGCCGGGACAGGGCCAAGACTGGGGACAAGGAGGTCTCTGTGCCCATGTGCTGTACTGTCCTCGACAGTGGCAAACTACTCTTTGCAAATGCCTGAGTTAGGCACGCGTTTGTTCCAACTGGGAGGGTGTGAGACCACGTTTATCTTCTCTAATAGTTTTGTTTGTCAGTAGGCAACGACTTAACCCTCCAGTTCAAGGGCTGCCTGTGTATGGCCCCCAAGAGGGACTTAATGCTTTCAGCCAGCATTCTGGTAAATCTGCGCTGGGGAAGTGCTGCCACCCCGTGTTTGTCTCCTGAATAAATGTCTTCATACAGCGCCGCCCGAGCACATGTGGTGGTGGAAAGACAGTGCCTGTGATGAACATTAAAGAAAAAGCTGCCATTTATTCCTTTCAAGTGTGTCATTAACACAGTTTCTATCTAGTCAAGCCAGAGGTCTCTCCACTATTATTAATTATGCTAATGTGCTCTGTGTAAGTTGAGGTAAACAGGTTTATGTGTACCTTCTGATCTCCCAAGGACTTAGCACATTAATCACTGGGCCTCACTGAGTACCCACCTGGGTACATTTTGGCAGGAAAATATCTTAAGGACCACCTGCATCTTAAAGAATGAGTTGGCAAAGATTTCCCAGGGACCGCTTTCCTAGCTGCATATTGCTTATCTTCCAAGGAATGTGGAATATGTGTGTGTCAGCCCCAGAAAGGTAAGCTGTTTGGAGCTCCAAGTCTTAATGTAGTTAACACGACAACCAGCAGAAGTAAGTGAATTAAAAATTAATAAAACCAAATTAATAAACAATTAAATTAAAATAATTTATAATTAATTAAGAAATAAAGAAATGTATTTCATAACATGACATGAAAACAGAAAGTCTGTGCTCAACAAAAAGAAACACCTGCAGACAAAAGGAGCAGCTCTGCTCAGGTGATGACAATAACAACCATTAAAGGTTTGTTGGAGAGGAGAGGGGAGTGTGTGTGCTCAGCTGGCTGGCAGGAAGGTGAGGCTGGCCCGAGGCTTGGCAGTGTGTGCAGATGTGTGACAGGCTGTGACTCTGAGCCCTGCATTTCGCACACGGGTCAGGCACCCCTAGGACAATTGGATTAATCTGCTAGTAAATGTGCAGGGTAGAAAAGGCAGAACTTTTGTGGCAATTTTGCTACTTCTTCAGCTTTTCTCATAAATGGGTTTAAGCACATGAGGTTCATGGCTTCATAAAAAAAAAAAAAAAAAAAAAGCAAAACTGTGGATGCTACAGGATATAGACCATAACCCATTGGTTCAAATCTGTTGTGATTTGATGTTCTGAGCTTTCTCTTAAAGCATAACATACTAGTTAAGGCATTATTATAAGGCGTTATTGTATCTTCTTTATCAAAGTATATGTGTGTTTGTGTGTGTGTGAGAGAGGCAAACACAGACAGATGGAAGGTGGTGAGAGAGCCAGAGCATGCAAGAATGTGCATACACTAAACATGTTTACAGTAAAGCAGTTAATCTGAAAATTTCCCCGTGGAGCTGGCAGCAGCAGAGCCAGGCTGCCTCAGTGCCCTAACGAGGACATGGCCCTGCCCTCCCCCAGAGTGTTCTGGCAAGCTCTCCTTGGGCTTCCCAGCAAGTGGGGCAATGTGTGCCTCCCCTAACCCCTGATCCCAGCGCTGGTAAACAGCCAGCCACCACAGGCACACAGCTCTGTGCCTGGCTGCAGGGCTGCTGCTCTTAGGCACCACAAGCGACAAACAAAAAAAGCAACAAAACCTGTGATCTCCTGCAGAGAGAAATGTCTGGCTCCTGCCTCCCCTGGAAAACACTGATTGTTCTAAGTTTAGCGGTTCTTCTTGCAGGTAAGATGTTCTTGAATATGAGTAACAATTATTTAAATAGGGTAGTCTTGGAGAAATTAAGGACCTGCTTGGGAACCCGGCCCTGAACAGGTGCTCCCATTGCTGTTTCCAAGAAATCAATATTTGTACAGATTATTCAGATTTGAGCCCTGATCACCTCAGATATGCAAGCTGGAACTCGGACTGTGGGATAGGATAGAATGACAGTTCCTCTGAAAAAGTGGTATTTGGGGTTTGTTCATGTGTCAGGAGGGACTATGATGTAGCTAAGTACCTGCTTCTGCTTGTCTTTTAGATTTTACTGAAATCAGGGCTGCTGCTGATCGAAGTGAATGCAAAAGTGCAACCATAGATGATGTGAATGGGAGTCTCAAGGTAAGAGGCTGGCTGGGTCTGTTCTGCACCCCCCTCCTGTGCTGGTGGGCTCCTCCTGTGTCTGCCTGCTCTGGCTGGCCAAGCACAACTCGTGAATTGCTTTGGCAATGTACAAAGTACGTGCTGGGGAGGGGAGCCACACGCAAGAGCAGAAAAACATTAGTGTCATCTGACTTACCACAGCTTTGGTCCTGCTACTGCTAGACCAAAAAGTGTCCTTGTAGATATATTTTCCAGTTTGGCCCTGCTCCAGATGTATGAAGTGGCTTGAATATAAGCAGTATAGTGAGATAAATAACTGTAGCTACCTAGAAATACACGAGCTTCTTTATTTACATATGTTCACAGGTTAATTCTAAGGTTCCAAAATCTTTCCTTTTCAACTTAGACTTTTTCTCCTCTATCTCCACAGAAATTTTCAGAATGCTTGCCTGAAATGATTGCCAAGGGTGAAAAAGCTTCAATCAATTCCCTGGCCTGGACACTGCAAGAAACTCTTGATCTGCTGCGCCCTGCTCAGGAGAAATGTGAGACCCCTCCTGAACCAACCCTCCCCTTTGCTGGGCGTTGAGCAAAGTGGCAGAGGAGAAGCCCAAAGGAAACTTTTTCTACTACAGAATGAGCCAAGTGTCTGCATTTCTTTAGGGGAGGAGTGGCAAAATCTAAAAGACTTCTCAGCAATGGGGAGCACTGGAACAGCACAGCAGCACAAAGACGGGTCCTGCTGTCCCTGCAGCCCAGGCACTGGTGCTGAGCAGTCACAGGGCCAGCAGGGCCTGCTCTGCCCTCCAGCCACAGCCTCTGTGCTGCCTTGGGGCTGGCATGGCAGTCACACTTTTCCAAGAAATATTCGGGTAGTTTTGGCCACAATAGCACTGAATGTCAGTGTTGTGAATGCCACAGTGAGCTGCCTCTAAAGTGTAACTGGGGCTGACCCTGCAGTCACAGAGACAAGTGAGGAGAAAATTCCGTGGGTGTGGCCAAAAAAAAAGAAAGAAAAAAAGAGGGGGATGAAAAAGTTTTAAACAAGCAAAAATGCATGCTTTGATGGTGTCAGCTGGTGGAGACAGGTCAATGAATTTGCTTGGGAAGGGGAAGCTTTTATACCCACTTTCACTCTGATATACTGTTTTCTTACTCCTTTTTCTTTTTGTCCACCCAAAAGTTTGCAGGCAGCTGCCTCCATGCCCACGCCCAGTGCCCCCCAAAAACGGGGGACTGGTGTGTGTGACCATTGACAACACTCAGTACTGCAAACCCATGTGCAACCAGGTAATATTCCTGCCTTATATATGGCTGCATGTATTCCTTCCTCCGTATTTGGTAAAGCCTAATTTTGCTTGCTGTACTTTTTTTCATATCCCTCAGGGCTGGGAGAGGTTGTAGTGTTTGTATTTACCTGCCCTGTTTCTTCCCCTTGCAGCTACCATGATGTACCCTAAGACGGTGTTTGTTTATTTTCTCCCCACCACTGTTTCCCAAGGGCTATGACTTCCAGTTCCTCAGGAGCAGCAGGCTGTATGAAATGTGTGGCAATGCCACAGGGTTTTCCTGGACCACACAACTTGTTGGGGGAAAGGCACTGGCAGTCTGCAACCGTGAGTGCTTCTCAGATGTATCTGTTCATGGGGACACAAGGCTTCCTCTCCTTTGTTCAAAAATAGGAGGAAAGCAAAGTTTCTCTTTTCGTGCCAGCCTTGTCATGTGTGACATTGTGAGAGCCAGTGCTGAGCTGAAAAACTGATGAGCAAGAAAACACATTAGATTTAATACTCTCATGAAGGCACTGCTGTTTCATCTTGTGGTACCAAATATGGCATTTATGCAAATGTTTGTGGGAAGATGGACCTGTTTTTTAAAAAAAACAGTAAATTGGTATCACCCTGACACAAACCCCATGTTGCACAAGGGTTGTGTGACCCACTGGACAGACAGCAATAGGACATAAAAATGTTTATCTTGCAGCAATAGTTGAATAATCTCAGCAAATTGGCCAACACCTGTATGTACTCACAATAAAAGCCAGCAGCTGGGCCCCAGCCAGCAGTGCTGCCATCTTCATGGCAGCTCAAGGACAGTAAGACTGCTCCCATTGTGTCCATTGCTCAATCTGTGACCCAAAACAGGCTGTATGACTCTGTTGTTATTGCCTTAATTTAAAAGTAAATGTTCATATAGATGCACAAAAAGACCACCCTACCTCTTCTATGCTTAAGAGAA